CGATAATGCGCCCTGTGGGCTCGTGCTAAACGGGGCCTAGGGGCAGGTGGCCTCGTCTTACCCTAGAACCATTGGCTCAAGTACCCTGGAACAAATGAGGAAAATATCTCCAGTGAAATCGATTCCCTTTCAAGCCAACAGGGGAAAAATAACAAATAATGTTGACCTATGATTAATAAATAGGGGGCCCCCCCCCCCCCTGAATGACCATAAATAAAGATTAGGGGAAAATTTTCAGGGTCGGGCCTTGTTTAAAGGAGTTTAGTATTGGGCTCAGTTTTTTTGGTTTTCGAATACTACTTTAGAATTGGGCCAATTCAAAAGTAGTATTGGGCATGTTGTTTTTTCTTATTTTGCTTTGGGGGAATACTAGTTTAGAATTGGGCCAATTCTAAAGTAGTATTGAGCCAAGAACTTTTGCATGCATTTCATGAGGGATGGGAGAAGGAATTCATGAGGGGCATGCATTCTAGGAGGGATTGAGAAGGACATTCATGAGGGTTTGCATGGGCTGGCATGTATTCCAAGAGGGATTGAGAAGGACATTCATGAGGGTTTGCATGGGCAGGCATGCATTCTAGGAGGGATTGAGAAGGACATTCATGAGGGGTTGCATGGGCAGGCATGTATTCCAAGAGGGATTGAGAAGGACATTCATGAGGGTTTGCATGGGCAGGCATGTATTCCAAGAGGGATTGAGAAGGAAATTCATGAGGGTTTGCATGGGCTGGCATGCATTCTAGGAGGGATTGAGAAGGACATTCATGAGGGTTTGAGGCATGTATTCCAAGAGGGATTGAGAAGGACATTCATGAGGGTTTGCAGGGGCTGGATGTATTCCAAGAGGGATTGAGAAGGACATTCATGAGGGTTTGCATGGGCAGGCATGCATTCTAGGAGGGATTGAGAAGGACATTCATGAGGGTTTGCATGGGCTGGCATGTATTCCAAGAGGGATTGATAAGGACATTCATGAGGGTTTGCATGGGCAGGCATGCATTCTAGGAGGGATTGAGAAGGACATTCATGAGGGTTTGCGTGGGCAGGCATGCATTCTAGGAGGGATTGAGAACATTCATGAGGGTTTGCAGGGGCTGGATGTATTCCATGAGGGATTCATGAGGGTTTGCATGGGCAGGCATGTATTCCAAGAGGGTTTGAGAAGGACATTCATGAGGGTTTGCATGGATTCAGCATGACATTCACAAGGGGAGGCATGGGTTTGTAGGCATTTGAGCAAGGGTTCAGTGAGCATTAGCTCGGCCAGCATTGCAGCCATGTCATCAGTGAGTGAGAATTCATGGCATGAACTTCATGAGTCAGATTTAGATTCAGGGCATGATGCAGATACAGAGCAGGCTGGGCAGGAGGAGGCTTGATCAGAGCTGGGGGCTGCAGGGCAGAATGCAGCAGTTGATGAGGGTGCATCAGTCCAGCGTTATTGGGCCAACCAGTACACTGCATTAGTGGGCATGACAAGATCATGTTGAAGTGCGTAATCTGATTGGTCAGTATTTGGGCATTGATGTTGCAGACACATACTGGTGCCTGCATAATGCAGGCAGTGTGTTTCAGTTTGTCCAGCTGGAGAACCCTGCATATTCAGATGCATGGTGCATCTGGGGCTGGGTGATTGAGTATGCAGCAAAAGGCAGCTACTATTTTGTGGGTGATGAGATCAAGGAGCTTGAATGTCATGTTGGAGATGTGCCATCAGAACTTGCATCATCAGGCTCAGCACCAGCAGGATCAGACTCAGCACCATCAGGCTCAGGATTAAATTCAGATGCATCAACCACAACATCCTGTACATTCCCTCAGCATCCTCATGAGATCAGGTTTGTAGATTAGTTAGGCTCAGTGCAATGGACATGGCAAGTGTATGACAGAAAAAGGGTTATGGTGGTGTGTGGTGGGTGGTGTGTGGTGGGTGGTGTGTGGTGGGTGGTGTGTGGTGGGTGGTGTGTGGTGGGTGGTGTGTGGTGGGTGGTGGTGGGTTGGTGGTGCCAGCACCATTCCCTTTCAGCCCTGGCCAAGCCCTGCTAGGATCAGATCTTCATCAGGTGCTGCATCCAAAGAAGGATGATGAGGCAAAGAAGCCAATTGGAGAAGGGAAGGATGAGGAAAAGAAAGATGAGTAAGCAATGAGTAGCTGCAACCCAGTGTTCTTAGCAGTTGGCATCAGGATTGAGTTGGAAAACATGAAGGTGCATGCGCTGTCATGAGTGGCATGGGGGCAGTGAGCATGGATTCACTTGGCATCATGTGCATCCAGCATGTGCATGAGCCATTCAATCATCAGCAGCCTTTTGCACCATCAGAGCTTGGAATCAGTTTGTATTTGGAGCCCATTAGCATGGCCATGAGCATGAAGAAGGTGATGGCATGCCTGGTTGCCATCATTGCAGTGGCAGTAGCTTTGAATCAATTCATGGGGGACAAATTGACAATTGCTCATCACTGACAATTGTTAACTATCATGACTGAGGCCAGGGGATTGACATGGAGCACCATCAGTTGATCAATCAGGGAGTGCCTTGGCCACATGGGGCATGGCAATGCAGGGAAATTAGCATGGGTGGAGGGTGCACACAAATCAGGTGATGTACTGCTTCATGCTGTATGCATTGTGGAAGATGCATCAGTTTGTGGATCATGCAACTTGGAGTCATTAATTAGTTAAGTATGCAAATGTATTTGTTTTGCAATGGCATGCAGGTAGTCACATGAACATTGATGAACATTGTTCACTGCTCAGGCATGCAACATCAGCAACTCAGCCTGGACATGTGCAAGGAAAGCAGGGTTCATGGAGAAGCGTGCCTGTGCCAGCAATCAGATTCATGATTCATGGCATGGAGTTTGCTTGAACCAGGTGTATAGTGTGTGAATGCTTTAAATTCTTGATGAACTTCAGGCATGGACATCGCCTATGGAGGCTTCCATGATTTGCAAAGGCATGTGGCACAGGTGCTCAGAGAGCCTCTTGGCTGATGCAAGATAATTACATGAAGCATGATGATGAGCACATGAGGTGATAAGGAACTAGTTAGTCAGATGTCATCAGCTGTTACTCAGTTAATTACTGGGCTCAGGTATGATGATCAGATGGGGGATTCTGCCATATTGGTGGGCATGATCCAGGGATTGCGCCCTACATTTGCACCAGGGATGAGCAGAACCTTGCCAGCATTAGTTTCATTAGGCAATGCTAATTATCAGCAGGCAATGCAGCAGGGCAACCATTGCAACCAGCATGGCAACACATGATTGGCTTTATTCATTCCAGCCAAGGGGATTACTATGAGGCAGAATGGGATTTGGCAATTCGTGCAGCATTGCTGGATGCAAAGCTGCAGGCCCAGCAGCTTTGAGTAACTAATGAAATGACAGTTCATGAAGCAAAATTCTAATTAAGTTGCATGATGATTGGACTTGTTGTTTTCAACTAAGGTATCAGCAGCTGATTCGCAAGGTATGTGGGATGAAGGACTATGCGGCACATGATAAAGAGCAGTTCATCAGGAAGAATGCCAACAGGAAGGAATGGCAACAGGAGCAATTCCATCCAGAGCATTGGATTAATTAGTAGACAAATGATTACATGAGTGCTTGAAACTAGCAAGTGTTTGAGATGTGCTGAGGATCAGGATGCTGCTTCCATCATGGGCATGTGCCCCCCATGGAGCAAGCTCATCAAGGCATACCAGGCCATGTGTGCCTTGGAAGTTTCAATCCAGAATCAGCAATCAAAGAACTGTTAGCTTGTGAGTGCATGATGTGATATCCAAGTGCATCATTGATTAAGGAAGCTCTATGAGCACTACAATCAGCAAATGGATCAGTGGGAAATGGACATTCCATTGCAGCCCATGTGGTCATTCCAAAGGGAGATGACCAAGATCGACAAGATGTGCCTCAGCAAGCAAGCATTTGATGAGTTTGATGAATCATCAATCAACAGACCCAGCAAGCAATCAGCAGGATACATAGTTAACAAACATCAGCTCTTGACCATCAGCAAGCAACATACATGTGAATAGTGTGCAAATGAGGATCCAGGAAAGCGAGGATAAGAAAGGGAGCCTTGGAGAATTAGTTGAGTCAAGGTAGAAGTCATCAGCATCAATGTGCATGCACACTTTGGACTTAAGGCAGAAATGCACCAAGGGCATGTTCTAAGCCTGATGCAGCCAGGAAGATGTGACTTGACAGCACATGATGAATGCAAGTGCAATGGAAGGGGGCATTGGTTACTTGTTTGGGTGTGCAATGCAAGGCGCCATTCATCAGCTGGTATGGCACAAGCGGGTAAGGCGCAGTGCCTTGCAAGCAATAGATGGGCAGTTGCATGGCCATCAGCAAGCATGCAGTTAATCAAGGGCAGTGGCAGCACAACTAGCCTACAATCCAAGGTGCTGGACCAGCTGCTGATGGCCTGGCATGAGGTTTTTGATCAGAGGCTATGAGCCCTGGAGCAAAAAGGATGCAAGGCATCATGAGTGATTCAGGGCATCATGTTTGGCACTCAAGGCATCATGAGTGGAAATCAAGGCAATCAGGCAGTCAAGGGTTCATGGTCATGAGGGACATCAAGAGCCAATGACACCATGCATGTTGGGCTGCTCAAACTGCAATGCAGTTGCACACCATATTCAAGTTCAGCTGTTGCATTAGGAGCAGCAGCATGATTAGGCTGCTCAAGCTGCAATGCAGTTTCACACCATATTCAAGTTCAGCTAATGCATTAGGAGCAGCAGCATGATTAGTTACTAAACCATTGCTCAGGAATCCAAACCAAAAGGCAGGCAACTTATTAGGAGACATAGAGCATTTTAGCATGGGTGGCCATGAAGAAGAGCATGGGCAAGGATGATGAGGACCGGGCACAGGGAGGGGAGAAGGGAGATGATGCATGGTTGATTGATTCATTAATTATGCATGGTAGCCATTGACACCCAAGCTCAAATCAACTTAGAAGCCATGATCGAGGGCAATGA